AATCCCAGTATGGTAATCATCACAAAGAAAGCCCTTGAGAAATATTTGTTGCAAAAAAATAAACTTTATTATTAAAGATGACAACAATAAAAGCTACTGTAAATACTTTTTGGATAAAAGAGTAGAAATACTGAACATACAAGTCAAAATAAACATAAGAATGGGTAAGGCTCATTGCTACCATGTATACCCACCACGACACTCACAACTTGTCCCAGTTTGCACCTCCTTTGATACTTACAATGACTCTGACACAGGATGGGCAGGTATCATTATGCTTTTTTAAAAAATTAAACTTTTTATTTTGAAATAACTGTACCTTCACATGCAATTGTAAAAAACAGAAATCTCTGTCCTTTAAGTTGTCTCCCCCTATGGGAGACATTTTGTTCAACTATAGTATAATGTCACAGCCAGGATACTGACATTGATCGGTCAAGATACAGAACATTTCCATGGCCACAAGGAACCCTGGTGCCCTTTTACAGCCACATCCACCTCTCTCAGTCCCTTCTCCTGTCGGTGACCCCTGGCAAATGCTGATCTGTTTTTCACATCTATGATGATTTCATTTCAAAAATGTTATAGTAAATACATAGTATATAACATTATGAGACTGACTCAGCATAATTCCCTAGAGAGACATCCAAGTTTTCGCTTTTTCTTTTTTNAAAAAAAAAGATTGGAAGGAAACAGACTAAAATGCTAACACAGGGAGTAGTAGGATTATAGATAATTTTAGATTTCTTTAAGCTTTTCTGCCTTTTTCAAATTTTTGGCAATAAAAAGAAAATAGGGAGAAGCACATGAGTTAGTGGACTTTAGTAACAAAGAGAAGTGGGGAGGGAGTCATTTTTCATTTCTCATATACCATTAATTATACCTATGTAGTAATATAAATACTTACTCAGCCATGAGTTTTGCTATGCGGTGACAGTCATTCTTGTCATAAAACCAGATACTGTATATTGACACTTGAAAAATAAAGGGGGAAAAAAAGATGAGGGAAAATGAGGTTTCAACATTTGGGTATATGTAAATAATATATTATCACTATGGAATGTCATTGATTTACCATCAGACCCTTGAATTGTTAACAGTTCCTCTTGGAAAAAAAAAACAACCTCCCCCCAAAATTCTGTATAATAAAATCGGGACAGGTAAAACATTCAGATGAAAATGAAAATTGAAATTGCAAAGAATAGTTGTTTTAGATATTATTATCAGATCTCATTGAACCTAAGATGCCACTAAGTATAAGATGCACCATTATTTACATATTATCAAAAAAGAAAGAAAGGCTGACAATTAAACTAAGACTCAACCAATAATGGTGGTAAAATGCATTCCATATTGATATTAAAATGTGAAAAAATGTCTTAATTATTAAAAACCAAGTTCATTGGCTAACCAAACATCAGAATCTGTGTCTCTTAGAACTTAAAATGTAGAATGAAAAGTATATTACAGTAAAAACAGAGCTTTAAAAACAAATACCAGGGCCGGCCCGGTGGCGCACTGGATGGCGCGCCGCTTGGGAAGCACGGCGGCGCTCCCGCCCGAGGGTTCGGATCCCACATGCAGACCG